GCACAATGTTTGCTGACATTTTTTTAACATAAAACATAAAAACCATTTTTCAGTGTCAGATAAGTTTTCATACACTTTTTTGGTGTAATGTGTTCTTTCCAGCAGTAGGGCCAACTGCTATGTATGTCTGTTTAGTGTAATTTTGTTAGTGACAACAAGGTGGATGGACTTTGTTATGTAACATAAGTATTATGCACGTTATACAAATCTACAATTTAAATTTTATTTTGGAATATCATCTGTTTTAGTTTTCATGCACTTTTTTTTTAGATTAATCTCCTTTTTCCTTTTATTGTTTGCCGAATATAATAATTCAAAATTGTGTTAGATTATGCGTCAATATTTTCAATAGATTATTGAAATTTTAATGTGCTTATAGTTACTTCAAAATAATTAAAAAAAATATGTTTTGTTGTTCTTATATCATAGCCAAAAAAAAACAAACGGCATTTAAATCATTTGAGTGTGGGAAAAATGTTATATCGTCGTAAAAGTAAGGAATATAAAGCGCAGACAAAACTCAGTGACAAGGAAACGTCAATTATCTCTAAATTTTCAGGAAATTTTATGTTATATGCTATATTCGGAGACGTGGGTTTAGCCACAATCGAATGTAGTAACAATTGTCACTTATTCTATTTTGACACTTAACTATAGTAACTAAACCTTCAAAATTTTGACAAATTAAGTGTAGGCTATTGTCAATCCACTTAGGCAGTGTGATTATTGGACAATAATGTGCAGTTTGTGTTATATCGATTAAATAATTTTAGAACAGCTATATATAGGAAATAAACTGAGCAGGAGATGTTTTACATACAAAATGAATTTGATGTAGAAACATCTCAAAATTTTTAGAACAGCTTCCATCAATTTTCGTTAAGACTTTTTTTAATATCAAATTCTGTTCACATATTTGAAAAACCCTTAGTTTTCCTAATGTAATAAGATGAAATTTGCAATTTTGTAATAAAGTTTCGAGGTAAATTTTAATTGAAAATTGTTTAATAGTAACAATAAGTGAAACAATACGCATAGAAACATATTATTTTTAGTTTGCTATTTGGGTTGGGGTTGTTAAAATTTTTAAAGGCGAAATGCGAAATACATACAGTCGGAACAGTTACTGCTGCTGATTTTGCAAGTCCCGATTTGAAAAATTATTGACAGCATCATAACCTAACAAAAAGTTTCCCCAAAAATCTCACCAGAACCCGTTAACTCAAGTTACACTCAACAAATTTTGAAAATTTACACCAGGGAGTGGTTTTATACTAACGGTCCCGATTTTATGCTATTCTAATCGGCGCCACAGGATTTTTTTTTTATTCATTTAGAAGGGAAAGCAGATAAGAGCGCTTCAATTAAATTTGAAGAGGTAAATTTCAACATTAAATTAATGTGTTTTTCATATAACTGTGATTACAAGGTTTGAGAAAGAACCTTATTACTTAACATCTTTGGGATGAGAGTACTTGTAAATGTTAATGAAGCACTGTCTAGATGAATTTATCCAGAACGCCTCTATTAGTTTATTTATTTTTCCATGGAAATTAATTATTTTTTAACAAGAGTTTCGTTTATAGATATCCGAATTAGATATACATCACACTAGGGACTATAAAAATTTTGAGAAAATTCAATTGCGTGTTCAGTTGAAAAATCACTCAAAGTAGGCGTTGGAGTTTCATTTGACACAAACGGCATATATTATAACATCCATTTGGCAGAAACATAACCTATTGTATGTTATATGTTATAAGAACAGAAATGCCGTTTCTGTCAAAAGATATTCCAATGCCTACTCTGAGTGATTTTTCATTTGAACACCCGGTATAAATGCTACTGAGAATCTCTTTAGTACTTTAAAAAAAATCAAATTTGTTATGTGCATTTGTCTGAACAGTGTTAGTTTTTGTTGGTAACAGCTACTAAATCTAGGATCGAATAAAGGTCTAAATTTTTCGACAATTTTTTTACTAAAGCTGAATATAAGCAAAAAGAAATTTTTAAATTACAGTACAGAGAAAATAAATGACAACTTTTAGTGGAAATTCTTGTCTATTTTTTTTTCTTGTTATTTTATAGTTTTATCTCATTTATTTTGTTCTTGAGTTAATCTTTCTAATAATTCTCATCAACAGGGGTGTGAACTATAATAAACACAATCTTTCAAAGATTTAAATTTTGGGTGTGTTCTAACCTTAAATATATATGGCAATACCAGAAGATGACTATCTCAATGGACAAAAATTAAACATTAATATAGTTGGCTCCAGAAAAAACGGGAAAAACAGATTACTGTGTGAATTTTTCTAGTTTAAACGGGACTACTTTGAAATGGGTTAGAACAATAATGACACTGCAAAAATTTTGTGTCAAAATAGTGACAAATATTTAGCAGATTTGTCAAATTGACAAGTAAGAGACAGGTATATTTTACATTGTACAAAAATTCCATTCCCGTTTTTTCTGGAGCCAACTGTATACCGTAGTCTCAATTGTGAATTTTAAAGAGCAAGTGTACCCTTTTACAAAGAACGAGTGCAACAATGTTGGCATAACGGAAGTAATTGTGTAAGAGATTGTCAATCGTGACATGTGATAAATTTAAGTTATGTTTTGGATACCTTTTGCAAATTAAAAATGTCAACAATCTGTCAGTCTTGACAGCTGATAACCGGAAATGTTAGAAAACATCATGATACCAATTTCAACTAAAAATCCAGGACAGACTCAGTCATTTCTGATGACGCGGTACAATTGTGAATTTTGAAAGGCGATTGTACTGGAAGTTTTTACAAAGAACGAGTGACCTTGTAAAACAAGTTTTATTATACAATGTTCTCTATTCAGGAGAATTAACGTCTTTTTTTTTAAATCATAAAAGTAAATTTTACTATTTTGACAACTCTAGTTGGCAGCCATGCATATTAATGTTAAATGTTGGTACATCGAGTTCCAACAAAAATGTCAAATTTGACGTTAAACTAAAAAGAAATAAGATTTGTGTTCTCGTTTTTTTCATTTCATTCTATTACGTGCTTTCAACAGCTGAGCAGGTTTGGATATTAAATCAAGTTTGAGACGAAATATAAGTTTACGTTACATATTTGGTTATCATAGGTAACAAATCTTTCTTGTGTGCAGAAACAATATGAAAATCGTTTCACGGTTTCGAATGCCCATTATCTGTCAAATTTGAATTATGCTGCATTATGAAGGCAGTAATACCAACTCATAAAACAATGCTTTTAAGAGAGTTTATTAAAGCATTGTCTTCAGCTGAAAAGGGTGTTTTATTGTGACTCTAAAAGGACAGAATTACAAAATAGTATATTATCATACTAGTTTGATAAGACATTCTATTGTAGCATTTAAGAATGTAATAATGTAATATCTCCAACACACCTATGGTTATGAAATTTTAAATGTAACTTGTCCACAAATTTCACTACATAACTACCTGAGCATTTTTTTTTAACAATTTATTATCAGTTTCTAACAAAAAAAATCGGCGATATATCTGGTATGATTTCTGTAAGCTGAAAACAGTGTTGAAAACCGTGTTCTGAAATTTCCTTCAATAATTGAGATATTGATTTTTAAATATACGTTGTACAAAAATTTCAGTAAAATTAAAAGAAAAATATGATCACAAACTGTTTTTAATAAAATTGCCCTTGCGTTATATAAAGAAGGCTATGGACAACGTATATTTAAAATAATTTTAAAAGCATAGGTCTGTTAATAACGGAGATATTACATTCTGAAAAGAGACGGAAAATTCCACTCAGAAATCGTAGCGACTGGCCTTAATAAACAAGTCTATTACTATTTTTTCTACTTTGCCCCTTATTTTATTACGATTATTGTTTAGGGTTTTTTCGAAATTCAATCTCAAATATAGTCGTGCATAAAATGACTTCATGTAATATTTGACGTATATGTGACGTTCTTGAAAACATGGTACCAACATTGCAGAACAAACTGTTTCCAAAAGCAGTTTCACAAACGCTTGCATTGTGAAGCTGTTTTAGGTTTCGCAATGAGCTTATTTTGAACACAAAGTAGAAACACATTTTTGTGTCACGAACGTCTACAATCTCTCACTGCTTTTTTTATTTTATTTTTATATTTTTTATTGAGGGTATATATTTTTCTATGACAGTAATAAAAGTGAATTTAGGCTGTGATATTTTGGTTATGGTTGTCTGGAACATTACACAGTTAAATTTGTCGACATAAATATGGTTAATAAAATTTGCTTGTCATTGCAACGTGGTGGAAAATTTGGTTTTCCGGGATTATGAGCGCATTATGCAACGACGAAAATCGATCTCTTCGTCCAATCACTACCAACCTTACAAACAAGAAATGGTTCGGAAACTTTATTAGTGTGATCTTTAAAGCGTCTGCTTCTGTAACACTCGTCTGAATTATTCATTTACAGAAGTAGCGTGTAAATTTTCTGTGTCGTCGCTTTAATTAATTACCAAATGGCGTAGCGAGAAATCCGAACAAAGCATTGAAATAAGCTGCATCTTAAAATCGCAGACACTACGCTAGTCGATTGCGACATTTCTAAATTAAAATCTGAAATTGAATGCTTAGTTTGTAATTTTCCGTTATACCTACTAAATCATTCATTTAGCCTTGTTGACGCAAAACGTTCCACGTTCAGCCTGCAGGGCTTATCCTTATTATACTTGAATATTTCAATTCAGCTGAAATTCGAGCGATTCAGACTTCGCTCTTTCTCTCCGTCATACATTTTAACCAGAATCTGCAATCGATAACCTCCCAACTGTACCCCACTCGAAACCAAAGCGCTTAAGCTTGCTTTTTATCGAACAACGAACCGTCGCAACAAGAATTGGCCCAACTTTGATTTTTAAATTGGTGTATGTAACGGTTTTCATTTAATTTTGGTGATGAGAGCTTCGACTCGCTTGATTCCCCAATTTGGCGTAGCCGACTTAATCCGAATCAATCTGTAGGGGCTGAGGACAATATCGTGGCCCGCAACAACAAGGAGAACGAGAGGCAGAGGACCACGTCGACGACGATAGCCGAAGAAGCGGTCGATCAATTGCAGGCCAGCGAGAAACTCATCGCCGGTAATTCCCCCGCTAATCCAAGCTAACTTCTCTGTTAATCTCCGGTCTCATTTAGAACTGAACGAAACGTGGGAGGAGAAATTGAAACGCACCGAGGCCATAAGAATACAGCGCGAGGCGGTTTTCGCAGAAATGGGGGTGGCCGTAAAGGAGGACGGCAACACCGTGGGGGTGTTCTCTCCCAAGTGTACGCCTCATTTAGTCAACTTGAACGAGGATCCTTTTATGTCCGAATGTCTGATTTATTACACCAAGGACGGGACTACGAGAGTCGGGTCCGCAGAGGCCAACATTCCGCAGGATATTCAACTCGTGGGGTCGCATATCAAATCGGAGCATTGCATTTTTGAGAACAAGGACGGAAAGGTCACGCTCATCCCGTCGACGGGGGCGCTGATTTACGTCAACGGCCGCGAGGTAAGGAGTGGAATTGAAATTAGCCAACCACAAGTCCAATTTAATACTTTGCGGATTTTCACGAGTCTTTTCATTTTCTGGATGTGCTAACCTTGCCCTTTACCCTTTCCGGGCTAGTTGGCCTGCCGGGGTCGGGGTGTGCAAATTCCCCCTAACGACACCAGCAAGTTAACAAATGACTTATCGTAAGCTGGGAGACGTTTCCACTAACTAAGGATATTTAATGCTAACGACTCTATAGTTACAAAAGTGTATATAAACTTTAGCAGGCTTTAGTAACAACAATTAAGTTAAGTCCACGTTCACTTTCCAGACAAGATATGATCATATCGTATAAATACCCCGAATTTAATCCGGGAAACCATGACTTGAAAGTGCGAACATAACAGGCTTCGGCTTCTGCCTGATAATATCAAATAATAATAATAAACTTGGAGGTTGTCAGCTAATTTTTACATAAAGGAGTCGTACACAAAATCTTGTCTTCTAGATCACAGAACCCATCATCCTTAAAACCGGATCCAGAGTGATCCTCGGCAAGAACCACGTGTTCCGTTTTACCCACCCAGACGAAGCCCGAGAAATGCGCGAAAAGAACGCAACTCCAGCGGAAAAGGTGGACTGGAACTTTGCACAGATCGAACTTCTGGAAAAACAAGGCGTTGATCTCAAGGCCGAAATGGAGAAACGACTCCTCACCCTGGAAGAACAGTACCGCAAAGAGAAAGAAACGGCAGATCAACTGTTCGAGGAGCAGAGAAAGGTAATCTTCGAAAAATCGCGAAAATTTAAACCGATGTGTTTGTTTGTAAAGAGTTACGAGGCGCGAATCGACGCTCTCCAGAAGCAGGTTGAAGAACAGAGTATGACAATGTCTATGTACAGTTCCTACACCCCCGAAGACTTCAACAATGAGGACGATATATTCGGTGAGTTTTTGGTGGGTGAGTCCATGCTGTGGCTTAATTTCGATCAAGCGCACGTTTCTTGCTTGCTTTGAAATTGAGACGGGGCGCTTTTGCAGTGAACCCTCTGTTTGACGCAGAGTGCAATTGGACCGAGAAGGAGTACGAGTTAGCGGCCAACGCGTGGAGGAAGTGGAAGCACCACCAGTTCACGTCGCTGCGGGACGACTTGTGGGGCAACGCGATCTTCCTGAAAGAGGCGAACGCCATCTCGGTCGAACTCAAGAAGAAGGTACTTGGCGTCCCGTGCCCTGGAAACCCGCTGATCCTCCGCTTCTTTTTTCGTAGGTGCAGTTCCAGTTCACTCTCCTCACTGACACTCTTTACTCTCCCCTTCCCGCCGACTTGCGTCCCGCCATCGACTACGACCAAGACGACGACGCGCCCGTGCCCAAGACCATCGTGGCGGTCGAGGTCCAAGACACCAAGAACGGCGCCACTCACTACTGGTCTCTGGACAAACTCCGGTGAGTGTAGCATCCGTCATCTAATCACTAATGATTTTGGTGTCACGTTCTGCACTGATCAGTCAAAGGTTGGAGTTGATGCGTCTGGTTTATAACGAGGAGGTGGTCGAATTGCCGAGTCCAGAAGTTACCAGTGAAATGTCAACGACGCCTTTGCTGAGATGTCTGACGCAATGTCCACCGTCACCGTCACGCTTCTCTCTAACCAGTCTGTTACCGTCGAGGTTGGTGCCACTATAATGCCGCCTCTGTTTGGTTTCGCTGATGCACCCCCGAACACACACACCTTTTTTATTATGTATACTTTATATGTTGTGTTTATGTGTCTCTTTCGCTTCTTAAAGTGGCGCTTCGTCTTTTGTTTTTTAAGTATTACTCTTCCAGGGCTTTGTTTTACTTCTGATGGTGGCACCAACCTTTATGTTTTTCTTTCTTTTACGTTGTAACACTGTTTGAGAAATGTTTTGCGGGGAGGGCTGAACGCCATTGATGTATTGCAAATATTTAGACTCTTTCTAGCTCTTGTCGTATTAATACATCACTGACGAAGACTTTACTCAGCCACACTGATCTTAACCGTCCTGTTCTTCCACTTGCAGACAGAGATTAGAACTGATGCGTGAAATGTACCACAACGAGGCCGAAATGTCTCCCACATCTCCAGATTACAACGTAGAATCGCTCACTGGAGGAGATCCATTTTACGATAGGTTCCCTTGGTTCAGGATGGTTGGTCGCGGTTTCGTCTACTTGAGCAACCTCCTCTACCCAGTCACTCTTATTCATAAAGTAGCTATCGTTAGCGAGAAGGGAGACGTGAGGGGTTATTTAAGAGTAGCAGTGCAAGCCGTCATGGACGAAGACAATTCCGATCAAGTTGGTGTCCGACAGAGCGCGCGGATAGCTTTTGAAACGCCTAAAGGTAAGAGAACAAACAGCAAGCGACGAAAACATTTTTCATCCTAGAATAAAAAGTGGCAGCTTAGCTCACCCGTTCCCTGTCATTCTAGTTGTATGTAAGTACATACATGTTTGGCGCTTATGAGTGGACGAATATTTGGGTACCCCGGGTATTTCGGACCTAATTATAGTCACTCAAAAGCATTGGTTACTTTGTTTAGGTTAGAGTTTAACCCTGTCAATTATTTCCAGCTGTAATTGACCATAAAAATATACACAATATGGACGAACGTATTATCGAAGGTCAGAACGGTATTGATCCGATTAAGCTCGATGAACTTATTGAGTGTGATGCAGATTCGGGTCGCGGCGATAGTTCAGTCGCTTCTGATTTGAAAGAAGACGAAATTCCAGATCACTTAGCAATAGGAAAAGAATTCACTTTCAGAGTGACCGTACTCCAAGCGGTTGGAATTTCCACAGAGTACGCCGACATATTTTGCCAATTCAAGTAATTTACGGTCATAATAGTGTCGCTTTAGTCTAAAAGACGCTCTTCTTCAGCTTCTTGCACCGACACGATGAGGCCTTCTCGACAGAACCCGTCAAGAATTCCGGAAAAGGCACCCCCCTCGGCTTCTATCATGTACAAAACGTACGTACTCGATTTCGTTGCGCTTCCGCTTCATCCCCGTTTCTTTACACAGATAACTGTAACTACTACAAAATCGTTCATCGACTACATCAAAACCCAGCCCATCGTCTTCGAGGTGTTCGGTCACTACCAGCAACATCCTCTCCACAAAGACGCCAAACTGGAGGGCAACGTCCGACAACCCCCTCGCCGAATGCTGCCGCCCTCGATCCCTATCTCTCAGCCAGTCAGGTCGAGCAAATTCGGCGCTCTTCCCTCCCCTTGCACCGCGCACATTCATGCCAAAGTCGACGTTCTGGTGTGGTTCGAAATTTGCGAGCTGGCACCTAGCGGAGAATATGTTCCTGTGGTGGTTGAGCACAGCGACGATTTACCGTGCAGAGGATTGTTCCTGCTGCATCAAGGGATTCAGAGGAGGATTAGGATCACGATAGTACATGATCAAGCCGCCGAAATTAAATGGAGGGATGTCAGAGAACTGGTGGTCGGAAGGATTAGGAACAGTCCGGAGTCGGATGAAGATGAGGATAACGATAATTCAGTTTTGTCTTTGGGACTGTTCCCTGGAGAATATTTGGAGGTGCCTGGAGATGATAGAGTTATGTTCCGCTTTGAAGCTGCCTGGGATAGCTCCCTGCATAATTCGCCGCTGTTAAATAGGGTCACGTCGTGCGGAGAGCAAATTTTCATGACCATTTCTGCATATCTCGAGGTATGTATTATATCATTGACACTGTTATGGCGTAAACCCAAATGCTGGACGTGTACTTTCTTGCAGTTGGAGAACTGTGGCCGCCCTGCTATTATAACGAAGGATTTAAGTATGGTAATCTACGGTAGGGATGCTAGGACTGGACCAAGGTCGCTTAAACACCTCTTCTCTGGAAACTATCGTAACGCCGAAGCTAACCGATTGTCAGGAGTGTACGAGTTGCTGCTGCGGAGAGCGAGCGAAGCAGGTAGTCCAGGTAGAATCCCTAGCTTAGTTTCCTCTCCTAAAACCTGATGGTTTTTGATTGGTTGATTTGTTGGCCCCGCCCTTGTACACGACTAGATTGTGACGTTTCAATTTTGTTGTGCATGATTGTCACGTCTATTTAGATGTTTTAGTACACCATGTAGAGTGTAGACATTGTTTATATCTGCGACGAATTTAAGTGGACTCTATTTGGCATTTTGATTGGCGTATTTAAAAATATATAACTGTACCGGGTGTCTGGAAAATAGCGGACTAACTCTCCGTTACGCTGTTAACGATCAACTGTTGTGTTGTTTTTGTAATAGAATTTGATAAAATTCCATTTGACAATAATGTTTGCCTGATATAAAGTGAAGGTACAAATTCATCGTGTAAGCAGTTAAAAATGTTTGGCGTATCAAAATTTGTTCAAAGTTTTAAAAACCCAACGTTTAAAATGTTCGCAGTTAATTTTAGGTCCCTGGTGTTTTTTTTTTTTTGTATAAATTTAAAGGAATCTGGTGTTTTGTTGCTGGATGAACTTGAAAACATTTTTACGAATTTGAAAAAGTCTTGAATGCCGCAATATTTTTTTACTTCCCGAGCGTAAGCAAAGGAAGTATTGTAATCGAGTCCGTCGGCCGACTCTCTACTTTTACGTTTTCTCGATCTTTCATGACCCCTAGAAGACGAAGAAATAGGTGTCCCATTTCCGTCTGTCTGTCCGTCTGTCCGTCTGTCCGTCCGTCCGTCTGTCTGTCCGTCTGCCGTCCCGGATTTTTATTAGACAGAGAATCTCCGAAAGTACTCGACCGATTGTTGTGAAATTTTGTACTTATATTAAGAATATCATGTAGATGGTAAAACGCTAACCAAAATTTGTCTAATCATCCCCACCACTAATGTGATGACGTCACTTCAAAATTGTACATAGTAAATAGGTTTTAAATTGTATAAAATAATATAGTCGTGAACATGTAGTTTACGACTCCGAATTGAGTTTTTACCCGAAACGTCCAGATTGGAAAAAAAATCAAAATTATAAAACAACATTTTGCAATTTAATTTTGAATCTGCTAATCCGAATGTTTTGAAATGTTGCAGATGTTTTAAGGCTATAAAGAGCATCATAAATCTTTACTCAAAATATATTTGGTTATACCCTCCAAAAACTTGGTGACGTCAGCTCAAAAGTTTGCCAAATAAATCCTATGTAAAATGTACAAAATGTACATGATGAGTCTGTGCTTGTGGTATATCCCTTCATTCATATTTTTTGGATTTGCATATACAGGGTGACTCAAAAAAATTAATGAATGCCTACATTTATTTTACTGATTTACTCAGGAATTACAAAACCGAATGCTTTGAAATCTTGAAGGTGTTTTAAAGTTATCATAAGCATGGTAAGTTTTTGATCAAAATGTATTTGCTCATCCCCCCTAAAAAATTTATGACGTCACCACAAAATTTTGCCGAATAAATCTTATCTAAAATGTACAAAATATGGTGAGTCTCTTCTTGTCATTTATCATTCCATTCAAATTTTTTCGATTTCTATATACAGGGTGACTCAAAAAAATTAATAAATGCGTGAATTTATTTTATTGAGTTAATCAGGAACTACAAAACCGAATGCTTTGAAATCTTGCAGATGTTTTAAGGTTATAAAGAGCATAATAAATGTTTAGTCAAAATATTTTTGCTTATCCCCTTCAAAAAATTGATGACGTCAGCTCGAAAGTTTGCCGAATAAATCCTATCTAAACTGTACAAAATATGATGAGTCTGTACTTGTAATTTATCACTCCATTCATATTTTTTGGATTTGCATATACAGGGTGACTCAAAAAAATTAATAATTGCCTAAATTTATTTTACTGATTTACTCAGGAATTACAAAACCGAATGCTTTGAAATCTTGCAGGTGTTTTAAAGTTATCATAAGCATGGTAAGTTTTTGATCAAAATGTATTGGCTCATCCCCCCTAAAAAAATTATGACGTCACCACAAAATTTTGCTAAATAAATCCTATCTAAAATGTACAAAATATGATGAGTCTTATCTTGTGATTTATCATTCCATTCATAGTTTTTGGATGTGCATATACAGTTGACCCAAAAAAAATTAATGAATGGGTAAATGTATTTTATTGATTTAATCAGGAACTCCAGAACCGAATGTTTTGAAATCTTACAGATGTTTTAAGGTTATAAAGAGCATAATAAATTTTCATTCAAAATATATTTGGTTATCTTCTACAAAAAACTGATGACGTCAGCTCAAAAGTTTGCCGAATAAAGCCTATCTAGAATATACAAAATATGATGAGTATGTACTTTTACGTAATTTATCATTCTATTCATATTTTTTGAATTTGCATATACCGGGTGACTCAAAAAAAAAATGAAATCTACTGCGAAAAAAAAACATAACAGACATGCAGTCGTCACGTTTCCGACAGCGAGAGAAGTACTGTCTAAACTCTTTAGACCAATTTTTTTTAATTGAGAAGACCCTTGGGTACCCATGGGGTATTATTTTGGGAGCCCATCAAGATTTTTTTTGTAAATTATTTAAAATAATTTTGGAGGACTTTGGCGTTCTATTTTTGGAAAATTCTGACCTGACCTGTTTTTACGTTAATTTTGGGACCCGTTTTTTTTTTTGAAAAATTTAAAACAATCTTATGGTTCTAGGTATTCCTGTTCGGAAAGAATTCCTTTTCACTTCTAAACATGTGATATTTTGTAACTTCTTGATTTTTGGCGTTTAAAAAAATAGCTTGATTTAGAACCTGGAAATTATTTTTCTTTAGAATTTTCAAATTTTCCACATTTGCTGCACATCTAATTTGCCGACTTCCCTTACCTACGTTATTCTGTCGGCTAGAGTTCTGCATTGTTTCTTGGAAGTTTTTCATGGTTTTGAAAGGGAAAGGATTAAACTGTGTCTCTAGAGATTTTGTAAATATTTAATTAGAGGGTATCTATCTCATTTGCAAAAATCACTCTTATCTTAGTAGGTACTAGCCCCGCCCACCCACCCTCTCTTTTCTTAGAGGGTATGTCATTTGCCAAAATCGATCTTATTTTAGCAGGTACTAACCCCACCTACCCGCCATCTATTTTCTTAGAGGGAACTCATTTGCCAAAATCAGTCTTATCTTAGCAGGTACTAGCCCCGCCCACCTATCTTCTCTTTTCTTAGGGGGTAGCTAAAAAAGAAATCAGAAAGTTTAGAAGCGTGCAGTGTTGTCAATTTTACTTTCATACAATTACGTTTTTTTCGTAATCTACATCATAAGAATTTTTTTTATTATTTTTTGGGGACTCCCGAAACCATAACGTACTGAAAAGTCAATCCGCAAATTTCCAGACACCCGGTACAACATGAATATGGACTGTTATTTCACTTAATATCTACCATAATTGTATAATCGACAAGTTCTTGTGATTTGGTGGTCCGTTGGTTTATCCATTTTTTTCCTATTATTTACATATGATCGGCACGGCATAACGAGGGCAGAATAATGTGAACGAGCAAAATTAATAAAATCATTGATGACTTACACTGCAAGGCGATTGAGTGGGCTCTTGGGGAAAGTACTTGGGGTTACTTCAGTTTTGGTCCCGCGGACGGAAGTTAGGTGATGCGACCAAACTGGACTGTTTATAGAGCTTCAGATCCGACATCCTTGAATGCTAGCATTGCCCCTGGCCCCAGGTCTTCTTAGAATGTAATTGCCATTGAATGATCTGACTGATTTTAATAACATTTTTCCTTTTATTACAAGATTCATGTGGCACTTAATTTCACGTTCCGAAAACCCATCGCTTTCGGAAATCACATATCATCAGTTTAAAGCTTAAAGGTCACTCACCACCGCGAACGAATCTACTACGACCCAGTCGTTAAAAATATCGTTCATTTCGTTCTTTGTCATTCATGGAAATATTGATGAATCATTCGGTCTTTCGGTCAACATTTTAGCTCCCCTATATATATATGTTTCTAGTGAATTTTTCCATATCATTTTTTTGATGACGTCATCAAAACTTTAGTAATGACTCGTATATCAATTTGAATGGGTGCAGTGCAACACCATTTGATTTTTTTTTGCATCACTTTATATTAGCAATTCTAAAAATGTTGGGAATGATTTCCACCATCTACACGATACAGTTATCAGTGAAGAAACTCGGGGTTTGTGATCGGAGGCAGCTCTAGAACCGGCTACTGTCACTGGTGACACGCTTGGTCGATTTAGCCAAAAATGGGATGCATTTCACGCCACAGGGTTGACGCCTTCGACGGGAGCAGTTGCTCGGGCGCCAGTTTTCTCATTATCTAAGAAATACCCAGGTCTGGTACACGGTTAAACGTAAAATATCACCGGGGCTTCTTTTCAAAAATTTGACTCATTACAAGTTATATTGGTTATTTCTTAGTACCCAACCCAAAACACATTCAGATTGACGCTCCACCATGCCGCCCTCTGTCTAACTACCAACCCTCTAACTAAAATCCCTAGCGCTACTAATTGTTCAACTATCCAGCAAGCGTTACCGTCCACCTGGTTGCCTATGTTTAATGATTTTTTGATGAATGTTTTTCTTTCTCAAATTCAAATTAATCAAATGTGATTTCGCGCCGCTGTTAATTAATTTCAGCGCGAAAATTTGGATTTAAATTCGGTCACCACAATATAATAAATCATATGATTATACACTAGCTTACCATATAATCACTGGTATATCCCACAAACATGAATTTAACTCAAAATGGCCTTGAATTTGATTGTATCACGCTTGTTCGAGAGACATAACGAGACTATTTTTATGTTTTCTCGGCGTTTCATGATCCCTACAGTAAGTAATCTTCTGTTTCCGTCTGTCTGCCGTCCCGGATTTTTATTATACAGATAATTTCCGAAAGTACTGGGCCGATTGTTGTCAAATTTTGTATTTATATTAGGAATATCATGTAGACAGTAAAACGCTAACCAAAATTTGTCTAATTATTTCCACCAATAATGTGATGACGTCACGTCAAAATTGTACTTAGTAAATGGGTTTTAAATTGTATGAAATAACATAGTCCTACACATGTAGTTTATGACTCCGTATTGAGTTTTTACCCGACATGGTACAAATAAACATGTAAAGACGAATTAGGATCTTAGTTACAGAAAATTTATGAGGAACTGCAACGAACTCCACAAATTGAAGAAAAATTTCCGCGAATAACTTTAACATAAAAGATAAAAATACTGCCAGTCAAGATGTCCACTTTACAAAATCCATCTAAACGTCACACTGACGCCATTTTTTAACTGTTAACAGGTGTTCAGCGTCGTCAGCGCCGCGTCCTTGACACCAGCTCCACCTACGTCCGAGGCGAAGAAAACCTCCACGGCTGGCGTCCACGTGGCGATTCCCTAATCTTCGACCACCAATGGGAGTTAGAAAAACTTACCCGTCTTGAGGAAGTAGAGCGCGTGCGACACACCCTCCTTTTACGTGAACGTTTGGGTCTCGACAGGTCTACCAACCACAACAAATATCATTTGGAATACACCAAGAGCGAGAAAGAAGTGTGCAACATGGTGGCCAAGAACAATAACCTCAACAGCGCTGTCCCCAGTATTGATTACTACGAGTATACCGACAGAGAGAAGCAGTTGTTGATCAAATGTATCAGGTTGATTCAGGGCAAAGGACGCGAGAGTGCGTCATTAAAGGACAACGAAGTTGCTAGTCCTTCTGAGGAAATGACAGAGATGAGTACTAGCATGTTATCGAGTATGGTGTCCAATGGTTCGATAGAGCTATGTTCACCCGAAAGGGCCGCGCTTCCGGGAGAGTGCGCTGCGTTCCCTCCAGTTCCAGTGTCGCCTCCTGCCGGACCGAGGGATCCCGAGTTGGTGCTGTACGTTCCTGATATGGAAGAGATAAGGATTTCGCCAGTGGTCGCGAGGAAAGGGTATTTGAATGTGTTGGAGCATAAGACGCATGGCTGGAAGAAGCGATGGGTGGTGAGTATTCTTGATATTTCTGTCGTGTACCAAGTCATCCTTGGAAGAGATTTAGCATACTGTTTGTTACAGGCCGTCCGCCGACCTTACGTTTTCATCTTCCGGGACGAGAAGGACCCCGTCGAGAGGGCTCTGATCAATTTGGCTACCGCTCAAGTGGAATATTCCGAGGCCCAGCAGGCCATGGTCCGTCTGCCCAACACTTTCAGCGTGGTGAGCAAACATCGCGGTTATCTCCTCCAGACGCTCCACGAGAAAGAAGTGCACGATTGGCTGTACGCCATCAACCCGCTCTTGGCGGGGCAGATCAGATCAAAATCGGCCCGACGCAACCCGCAAAATCGCCAAGAAAATTCAGAAGCTCTGGGGAGTGTCGCATGCAAATGAGATTTAATCGTTATGGAATCCGTTTTGGTTTACTAAAGCTTATTAGTTTAAGAGGAGTTTTGTTTTATCACTTTTCCGTAAATTTCGAGGTTGTGATTGAAAAATTATCATGGTTAGGGTTCCATAATGTGGTCTTTTGTTTCCTCTAGTCAAATGTTGCGGCACTCCTGGTTTCGTTACTAAACTAGTCGAGGAATTGTGTATTTATAAGAGTTTTGAGGAGAATTTTTGATGATTCGATTGTGTGCAATAAGAGAGTTGTATATTGAATATGTTTATTAACGAATCTCAAGACGTTTCGAATGCTTATTTCTGTTCGATGATCTCAATGTTTTTAAGAAGATGTTAAAATAGTATTAAAAATGCTTCTTATAGTATATTACAATATTTAATACATGTACCAATCTAATTAAACTCTATCGACATATTCTACCGTTTTTAATGTTAAGGCCTCGGGTTTTACTTTAAAACTTGCAACTTACCAAGAAATGAATGTAAAAATGTCACTATAATTTCCGTTTCGTTTTCGGGCACAGTAAGTGTATAATGTACAGGGTGTTTATTGTTCATTCGATGCAAATCGATGGGAGATCAATGAAGAGCTCACTTTATGATTATTTTTTGATACTTCCACTTCAACCCTGTTGTTATTTTTGTACTTAACTAGATTTACACGAATTGTTTTTATTGTATATACCAAAATGATTAGCACAATAGACGTTACGTTCACGCTGAAACCGCTATTGTTTCGAACAAAGCTGGCATGTGTAAGCCCAGCCTTACATCCATGACCATGTCTTGACTGATTTTTATTGGAAGTTTTATTTCATCTTGAAGTCTTTAGACGAATCTTTGTTGTAGGTGCTTGTTAACTCATCATAACTTTATTTTTATAGTTAGTTCCCCTATAGACACAGTGCTACGCTTATCTAAGCTATAAATGTATAAAAAGAAGTACTATTAACAAATTAGTAGGTACAATGTAGGAAAATTTATATTGTTTTCTTTTTGTTACGTTTCTGATGCTGCCCTTCGGGGTTATTTATATTATTATTATTGAATGATTATTATTATTGTATAATTGTGTAAGCATTATATGAAATAAACGACAATGTAAAAAGAAATGAGAGTCCATTTTATTTCACTGTCTAACACTTACTTGTTTACATTGTTTAAATATTTACCGAAAGAGCTACAGTTAATATTTTGTGGTTACCCGCATATAAAAAAAAAGGATACAATTTATTTAAAATGACTTCACAGTTGTTTAAATCTCCTATTAAAAAGCGTGTTTAGTGACCATGAACCTGAACCGTTGAATAAAATAGGAACCAATATGTGATGTCATCAATGCAGTTTGTGTACGATCATCCACGACATAAGAAACAATGTAGATAACTCAAGACGAATTCCCCTAACATATATTATGCTATTGTGGTCATGGCCTAATGCGCTGTAGCCCCGTCTTGTCATGAAGTTGTGGTATAAAATCCATCGTTGACTAATTGCAGCCCAAGCATCAATTTTTTGGGTATGAACGGGAGTCTCAACAAAAAAATGTGATTTTCGGTGCTCTAAATTTTCATATTTTAAGAATTAATGTAGCTACCCAAATAAAACTAGGCTCCGTCTGTAAAAAAAGTGGACATAGTCGACGGATGTTGTTGGAAAACTCAAAATTCTTCAGGGAATTCATCCCACGCATTTACTCTACGACTTAATCATAAACGCTTTTTGCTTCAATGGAATCCATTTTTGGGTGAATACGCAAATAAAATTTTGAAATATAAAGATTGTTTCTTCAGGAAGCAACAACAAGCAAGAAAACACGGAAAATAAGGTCAGTGGGGACGTTTCAGTTATCATTTGTTAGTATCATAGCGCGACGTAAAATTTAAATAAAAATTAAAAATTAGTTTAGGTATATATGAATTTTTATTTCTGCCTTTTTGGGTAACTATTTCAAATATCGGGTTTACAAAATTAACGGAAATTAAAATTGATTTTGTAAACATTTTTCTATGACGTAATTTTAGACACGGCATTAAACATAACATTTCAGAGAACACATAGGGTTTCAATTCTAAGGATGATTTGATTAAAAATTATGTTGATGGCACAATATGTAAATTAAATTGAGAATTAAACACATCTTGCAGCAATCAACATTAAATTTTAATACCCGTGAAAGTTCTAACAACTTCTCTGATAAATGAATATAATAATGAGGATATTTAGGAGAGTAAAAATCCGATGTGGTAACTGAGTCATCTGCAGCCTGTGTAAATGATTAAACACGATTTATTTTTCTAAAAAAATAACATCAGTTAAAACGAAGTTGATAAGAATCGCCATTCAGACCAAAAATAGATTGTTAATAATTGTTTCTGCTTTGGTTCATGTGTAATGTGAAAAACAATTTCAGGACATTTTTTATGATCAAATCATGTAATAATAATTGACAGTTACCGTTAGAACTTTTTAACAAAAACTTTTTTTATTACGCAAGGAAATGTTATTTGTATGACGATTTCTGGAAAAATATATTATGTATTAGGTTATCTACAAGAACAACCTCTAGGAACGGCGAAAATCGTCAATTTTTTTGAAAATCGTCTCCACTTAAAATCGACTAGTGACATTATTAGGATTTTGCCTTAACAACCAATCAAAATTTTATTTAAGTGAAAATTGCACGTCGTCAAGGGTAACGGGCAATTTCCACCAAACTTTGTAATATATTTAGTACAGGTTTAAAGTCAAGGAATTGCTGCTTACAGTTTTTATTAAAACAAAAAGAACATGAAACATGAAAAAAATTTAAAGTAACAAAAATGTACAGTTATGTACAATTGATTTTGTACTCCCGCTTTTGAAAGATGTGAAACGACTGATGAACGATGGGAATGATTAGTGACTTAGACAATATTTGTCTTTACTCTTATTCTCTTTGCGGCTTCCCTTGTCCATTTTGCCATCGTGTTTCTCCAAATAGGTGTGTTCTTATACCAAGCTGAATCATTCGTACAATTCCAATTCGGATTTGGTGTTATAGTCCGTATAGTATCAGTTTTTGAAACAGTCTAAGAAAAAATGGTTGTAATAATTGTAAAATTAATTCCAAATATTCTACCTTAATAGTTGATGGTTTGTTTTTAACAACTTTGAGTCGGTCAACTTCTTGCTTACTCCCTGCCCGGTCTTTGAAAGGATGGGATTGTATTCAATCCTTCCTGTTCTTGCGCTTTTATGGTCAAATTCCACATTAAAGTAGCTAACTAGACATTGCGTTCCTTCTCCTGCTGCGATATAAAAAAAAATCTTTTGCAGACCGTTCGGGGTATTTTCATCAAAAAATGTCCTTACGAAATTTAAGTTTCATTTACAAATTTCTCCTTTTCGAGTTTCATATTTCTCCGGCTGCTTTAAAGGCGACATAAGAAAATGGATCAATTTTAATATTAAACTTCTGGAAATACAACCCTTGTAACTGTTTTGCCACAGAGTTCCACATCACTTTCACAACACATTCTTTATAGTTCGATCCGTCTTTTTTACTCATATTAAAGCACCAGTCCTTCAATGCTGTGTTTATTTCTTCAAAGGACAATGCTCACTCTGTCAGGGAATAGTTCCTCTCTTGGCAAAAACTTTTGAATTGAGACCATATAGATTTTTTTTAACGAACGGTATGGATTGGTACACTCGTCTGGACTGCTGCATCAACTTCTGAAATGTTAACTTGGCCAAAACGTGACATTTTTTCTAATTTTTGTAATTTTTTGAAATGTTTATTTTAACGACCATAGAAACTGGGCACAGCTTTCTAGATTAGCACACATTTTCACATAAAATGAGTTTCTTGTTCAGGCGATTTTCTTGCTCGGTATTCGAACATTTTGTGCGATTGTGGTTTAACTAATAAGTCCTTTGTTTTGAGAAGACAAACTCATTCAAATCAAACTAATTTCTACGTGAGATTCTTTCGATGTATAAACATAAATAAATACTTGAACGTTAGATTGCTCTTACCTAGTGTTGAAGGACAAGGGTTGTTAGACAGGGATTATTTTACGTTCAGCATGGTGAGTCATCAGAATCTGACAACTGACTGTCAGTCAGTAGCGTAAGATGCACACTTCAGAAGGGGGTGGTCTTTAAATTTATTTTTTTAAATCGCAAACAATAACACGTGGAAACATAAACCTAAGTGAACTTTTTTCCGTATTTCTAGAAGCGTAATATTGTCTTCAGTTTCACACATTGTTAATAATAATTTATTACTGAAAACTGAAACTTAAAATGTTACAGTCATCTGACATTTCTCGTACTAATCACAACAAAATTCCTCAGAACAAAAAAAATTCGACGATTTGTTAATTAATTTTAGTAATAATTATTATTATCTACAGGATGTTATTGAAATGCACGTACAAAAAAACTGGGAGTGTTCTCTGAACCTTAAGGATTGAAACAAACCTTGGTTTTATAGTCAAAATTATACGAAGGAAAATTGACGTCTATCTTTGCCTCTTCTACACTACTGGCAAATAAATAGTAGGTGTAAAAAAATATAATTAATTTACGTTTGTAAAATCATAGCGACCATAAAATAACAAAGAACTTTTCTAGTCCAAAAATGTCAAATGTATTTTTCTATCTTTCCTGTGGGAATTTAATTCTGGTAAAATAAAAAGTGTTTATTAACGAGTAGGATTGCCTGGGGAAAAACAGTTTTGTTTTGTTTTTCATTTAAACAACTACAGAAAACAACAATAAAATTTGGACGAATAAACAAAACAAACCAAATCTTGGTTGAACTCAAGAATAAAACAAGGAAACCACGATGGAAAAAATTTTGCCCACAGAATTGGGGCTCAAAAAATTCTGCACGTTAGGTGCCAAAAATGTTATCAGCTGATCACAAGCGCAACAGGTAGGTGTCTATTCAAACCAATTTGGCCATAATTAACACAGACTCAGATGAAATTCTGAAAAAATTGTCACAGTAGTTGAAATTTCACCGTCTCCTCAAAATTTCGTGTATAATTTCCTGCCTGCAAAATCATGGCAACAGTTTTTTGGAATCTTCACTGATTATTATTTGCCACGTCATACCAGAACGGGTAAATATTATTATGCCAAGATAATTAAAAAAATCCGTGAAGCCATCAAGGAAAAAATAAGAAGACAGTTAAGACGGGTTGTTCTGTTTTATCAGGACAATGCTGCAGTCTATAAGAGCTGCATTTCAATTACTGCAATGCATAGTGCGGATTTTACAATTTTTTAACAGCTCGTCTATTTGCAACACCTAGCTCCCAACGACTTGTTTGTCAAATTAAAGAAATATCTTTGAGGTACCCATTTTTTCACAATGACAACCGTTAACGAATGGTTGGAAGAGCTAGACACAGAATTGTTTCCAGGGCTATACAAGAACTGCAGCATGATTATGTAGGCTTCGGATCTTAGTTTTTTTTTTTGCCTTTTTATATCTACCTCAGGCATTGCAGCGAAATTTATATATTTATCTGAATTTAAAAAAATCTGTTTATTTAACGCCCATTTATTACTACCTAAAATGCCTAATTTACCGTTAGATACCTAAAGTGTTAATTAAACGACCTAATTGTAAATTTTAAAAGACTTAAAATAGGATTCCACGACCAACGAAGCGGACGTGCTTGCACAATAGAGATTTTCCGTGAATTCATTGTTTTGGCTGGCAGATTGTTTAAAAATGGGTTATAAACAACGCCCTTGAGTTTAATGGTACGGGTTGGCGTCGCCAACTGACAACGCTGGCCTGCATTTCATTTTTATTTTAGCCGGAAGGAGGTGAATCTCTGAAAAAGCATTTTTTTTAGAAGTTTATTGTTAGTGATACTGAGTGTCTTTGCGTGTTAGTAAGTGTGCTGGGGCCGGTTTTGATTTTTGTGCATACAGTAAAGAATCCTCAAAATGCCTAAGGTAAAATCATCCATGAAAGATAAAATCAAATTATGCTTAAGGAATAATTTGGACACTAATTTTCAATTTCCTTCTTCATCCAAACACAATGAATTATTCTGCAAAGTGTGTGGAAAAGTTGTAAGTAAACATTTAAAATACTGAAGCTTGA